ATTTATTCTGAATAAAAGCTACTACATCCAAGCTACAGAAATCAAGTTGGCACTAGTGGTTCTTTTAGCACTTACAACTACTACGGCATCCCACAAATTCTTTCAGCTCTAGATTTTTGCACTTGTTAAGGAAACCAAAAAAACTTTGCATTGAGAATTAAAAAAAAAAAGAAGTATCAATCAACCTTGGCAACTTTTGCACCACAAGCAGCAGTAAGTATTGAAGCACCTGTTGAGATATTCACTGTGTTTGCACCGTCTCCTCCGGTCCCAACTATATCAACCGCGTCACCTAATCCTTCCACTTGTCTACAATGCTCTATCATTGCCCTTGCCAATCCCACTACCTAACCATCGCCATTACCACATTACAGTATATATCAATAATACATATGGTTAATGTCCAGCTTATGCTTATAAATGGAATCAGTGAAAGCAAATACACTGAAGAACAAGGTGCAATCTTCGTGTAATCAAAGTCATGTTTCAAAAGTGTACATCAACATTTAACGTCTATGGCTAAATGTGAGTAATATTTAAGATTGGCACTTACTTCTTCAAATTAAGGTTTCTCCTATAGCTCTCAAAAGAACAAGAAACGCACTAATTAAAGCTTCATCAGCTCCATTCAACAAGTAATCAAGAGAATCTTCTGATTCAGATTCCGTCAAGTCTTTCCTACTAATTAAAGCCTCGATCAGCTGAAGCATTCAAAAGAAATCGTGGAAACAAAAACCAATTCAGAACCATAATCAAACTATGAAAAGATTTTATTAAAAAGAGGGTCAAATTTTACCTCAGTGAATGAGGAAATGGAGCCTATGGAGGAATGGTTATAGGAATTGGTCAAGGCAGAGAGATGAGTTGAAAACTTGAAATGGGTGGTCTTGATATTAGTATTTTGAAATAGTAAATTGGTACTGACCAGTTTGCAAAGATAATGATTTGTAGAGAGGTATGAAGAAGAAGGAATACGGCACTGTAACAGAGCCATTTTAAGAAGCAGAAAGCTCTTTCAGGTGTAGTAAATGGAGTGTTGGGATATGAAATCCAGTTCCTTACTCAAGTACAAAAGGGTCTAAAGGAATATAAATCATATGCAATTAATGCTGGGGTATGAGAAACTGGGAACTACTTCTGCTTCTTTTTGGCGTTTCTGGATGCATTTTACTACTCAATAAATTCTACAATTCTCCAAATCTCTCCGCATTAAAAAATAATTAGCAATTCTCCTATAATGGTACTACTAAACTTACTTTAACCAAAAACTAGAAACCTATTCAAAACTATTTTGAATATAAATTTTAACTAGATATAAATTAAATATATTAGTAAAATTTAAATCTTCAACAATTTTTATTTTCTACTATAATTTTGAATTAGTTTTTCAACAATTTGCTCTTATATTTTTGTCATGTTTTTGTTTATATTTTTATTTTTTACCAGTCAAATTATGATAATTGCCAAGTGGCCTGCTTCATAACTCATAAGTTTAGGTGTGCGTCCAGAAAAGCTGACGTAGGAGTTTTTTTGTCTTCTCCCCGGTTTTATGTATGATTAATTTTGAATAAAAGATTCGATTAAGGGTGTAAAACATTTCGTACTAAAAACAATTTTATTTTCAAGATTAAGTCCTACATTTTCTAATTAAGGACAAAAAATACTCACCACCTAACAAACTTTGGTGGTTGACATAGGGGTACCAATGCGGTTATGTAATCTAAAAGAAAATATAAACAATCTTTTCACATCAACTTCACCTAGAATAATTGTTAATGTTTTAACAAATATAAGTCGCTCGCCACACTCTATATGAAGCTTGTTGACTAGTTATGGAATTGAAAATGCTACTGTTGGCATGTGTGAAGTTTGTTTTGATAATTGAAAAAGGAACTCAAGCATGAACCAGGTTCATATACATAGTGTACACAGACACGGATAAATTCGAGCACAAGGTATGCACGTAAAGGAGATAAGCTTAAGTAGTTATATCTGATATCTCCTGAACTAAAAGGTTGCATAAGTGATAAGGAGAAGGACTCCTTACTCGAAAAGAACTCTATCCTAGATAAGGGAGGAGTTAGAAGTTGAAGATAAATAAAACTCTTCCACCAAGGAAGAGTAAAGCATTAGACTTCTAGTTATTTCCTATTCTACTAACTCTATATATTGCAGGATGTTCTCATTTTACAGGCAAGTACAAACGTTGAAGTTAAACGTGAGTTGAGAGCAAAATAGCAAGGCATTTTGAAAACAACTCTTGTATGATTCAAGTGTGCGAACCTGAAGCTACATGAACCAGATAGAAGAACCAATTCTAAGTGTCTAACTTTACTCTAGTATCACTGTAGTAGGTGTTTCAAACTGTACCTTTCAACTTTATCAAGAAGCAATTGTACTAGGTACTATGAGTGTTGTATTCAAGTTAGAGGTAACTTGAAGTTGTCGGAATATCTAGAGGTTGGTTACCACAAAGGGATTAGAGGTAATCCTTAGGTTTACAAAGAGTTTTGTAAATGCTGTTTTGGTTCAGTGATTTAGTGAAGTGTTGGAAAAAATCCTACTGAGTAGTAGGTCGTGGTTTTTGCACCTTTTGAGCCAGGTGTTTTTTACGTGAAATACTTGTATTTTTTACTTTCCGTATTTATTATTTCGCAACAGTAGTATAAGGAACACATAGAAGAACCAGGTCTTTCAATAATCTGTACACGTAAAAATTTAATACCACATAAATCACTCACACCCTCTTGTGTGGTATTGAAGTACAAAATATCAATTGGTATCAGAGCAGGTTATCCTTAAAGAGGCTAATACCTTAGGAATAGATCAAGATGAGTGCACTACCTGAAAACTGTAAAGAGTAATCCACCACTAGGCCACAATCCAATGATCACTACTATTGCTTATGGAAGGAGAGGAGAAGAGATCACTTGCAGATGATTAATGGATGCTTCAAATGTGGTAAAACGAACCACATGATCAAGAACTTTCCTATATGGGAAGTCTAGTTGATTAAGGAGAGATCTAAAAGAAGAAACGGAAAAAAAGAACATGTTCATGATAAAAAAAAATACAACAAAGGGTCATCCAAAGCAATGGTTGCTGCCTGGGAAGAATGTTCAGATGAGGACATTGATGATGATGATGATGATGAATGATGATGATGATGATGATGATGATGATACTGAACGAGCTCTTATAGCAATTCAAGAATCTAAAGATGAACCTGATGAAGATTCTGAGATAAGTCTTCTGGACCTAAAGGATAAAATTAAATTCCTTTCTAAAGATAGATTATCAGAACTATTGCTAACTTTAATTGATGAATCTAAGAATATAAGTTCTGAAAAAGAACAGTTGTCAAAAGAGTGTAATTTTTTAAAACAAAGTGCAAAAACCTGAAAATTAGGGCTTGTGACACTGAAAAATAAAATATTATTTTGAAGAACCAGGTTCATGCACTTGACACATCTGTCTTAGAAATTAGATCTAATGATCTGAAATTAAAGTTAGGAACAGGTAAAGAAATAGCTAGTGTCACACAACTCACACTAGAAAAAAATTTAGGAAAGGTAAAATATGAGCTAAATAAGAGGGATGAACAGGTAAGAGTCCTAACAGAGGATTTGAACAAGGTCAAGCATGAGCTAGATAGAACTTGTAAATGGAACAGGTCCTCTGATGCACTTTCATGGCTACAAGAACATCATAATAGCAACAGAAGAGGACTTGGCTTTGGAAACTCTGCACCTAAGTGGGATCCCAAAAGCAAGTACCTCACACTCCCTAAGAACAAGATTTGCACACACTGTGGTAACACCGGTCACTATAAAAGTGAATGTACTGCAAAAGAGAAGGCAAGTCAAAAGAACAAAAAATCTGTTCTAGGGAAAAATAGGCTGCCAAGTTGGGCTAAAAAGAATGTGATTTATCCTTTTGCCTACCCCTGATTTTTTTTTGTAGGTCCAAGTGAAGGGGAACAGCCAAATATAGTGCATGGATAGTGGCTGCTCAAAGCACATGATATGAAGCAAGAACTAATTCCTTTCACTTGAGGACCTTAAAGAAGGTAATGTCTCCTTTGGAAATGGAAAGAAAGGTGAGATCATTGGGGTTGGAAAGGTAGGTAAAACTGATTCTCACTCTATTGAGAATGTCTACTTGATAAATGGACTGAAGTACAGTCTAATAAGTGTATCACAATTGTGTGATAGAGGTAACATGGTAGCCTTCACCTCTACAAAATGCTTTGTGATTAATCTTACCACTGACAAGATAGTTTTGCAGGGAAAAATAGTGAACAACATATATGTTGTGGATCTGTCCACACATTCAGATAATGAACTCACTTGATTAAGTGTGTTGGATACCGATCCCCTCCTTTGGCACAAGAGACTTGGAACCCGTTTGGATTGGCTTAAAAAAGTGGCTTTTAAGCAGCTTTTAAGTGCTGGAGCTTATTTTATAAATAAGCAGTTACATGTTTGGATAAAAGTGCTGAAACTTAAAAAAAAATTGTTGAAGTGTTTGGCAAACAAGTGCTGGTAAGCACTTTTTTCTATTAAAAAGACAAAATATCCTTAAAGCTGTTAACATTATAAAAGAGCTTATTACTACACTATATTTAATTATGAATTAATGCAAATAAAAAATAATTTATATTTTAATTTAATTAATTAATTTAGATAATTTTTATAAATATAATTCTTGAATGCTCATTTTTCACCACTTTCAATCATAAAAGTCTCAACCTATTTAAAATATCAAATTATTTTGTTGAATTCCTCTTTCCCTTTTGGTCCATTTACTCTTGAAAAATTAAAGATGTAGTTACATCCATGGAAAGTTGAAGGAAGCTCATTTCTTTTTATGCCAGGTATGGTAACCATTGACTTATATGCGGACAAATACATAAAAGAAATTTCTCTCTTAATAAAAATATTTTAATAAATTTAACAAATGTCTAACCAGCTAGTGTTTTTACTCTCTAATTACAAGTATCAAGCTTCACAAATTTCATTAGCAATCAAATCACGAAGACCCATCCAAACGAGATCACTTTGCTCTTTCACATTTTTCGCATTTATATTGTTATTAGTTCTCAAAGATGTACCAACATCAGGATCAACAGATGGAACATATAGCTCATTCTCAGCTCCTCGGAATGCATCATTCATATTGCATTTCTTTCTAATATAGTTATGAATGGCCATAGTAGCAAGTACGATGTCTCTTTGAGTGTCAATTTGATAGAAGGGTATGTCTCGCAAAATAGACCATCTTGCTTTCCAAACCGTAAATGTGCGCTCTACAATATTTCTACAAGAAGAATGCAAATAGTTAAATTTTTCAATTTGTCCTCTTGGTTCACGTAATTCTCTTGTTGCACCGCGGCGGAATTGTGCTAGGTAGTATCTCACATTATCTCCTTTGTTTGGAGCCATGTATCCCTTCATGTGCGGATATCCTACATTAACTAGATAATACTTATTTCCAATTGGACGTAAAAAATTGAGTTCTGGTCTACGAAGGGCCTCACCAAATATGCGACTATCGTGAGATGCTCCTTCCCACCCAGCCCATGCAAATGTAAAACACATATTAAAATCTATGACAGCAAGAATATTTTGAGTCGGATAACCTTTATGTCCAATATATGGTTTCTCTTGACCTTGCGGTAATCTTGCTTTAACATGTGTGCCATCAAGTGCTCCAATACAATCCTATATACATATACAAGTATAAATAAAACTTAAGTTAATAATACTTATAAAAGTTAAGTTATAAGTTTAATAAAAAATAATTAGGTAAAATTATTACTTACTCTAAAGAAAGGGAGATATCGACCGTTACATGGCTTGTGAGCTCCTGCACCATCATTATAATTTGGATGTGGTCTTATAATATCTCTAGCAAGTTCACAAATGGCCTTTAAAACACTATGAAAGTGTCTATAAATTATTTCTTCCGAATGTTGAAAGATTTCCTGTATCAATCGATTTCCAGCTCCATGTGCACAAGTCATCAAGGACATGCCTAATATCTCGTGTATAGACATTCCGCGTGTGGGTTTAAGCCCATACTTTTCAGCTAAATCATTCGATAAATCAACAAACACCGACTTCCTCAATCGAAAATTTTCATAACAACGAGTCTCGTTTCCTCTTAATATCTCTTGAATAAATGCATTTCCAGAGCGACTAGATGTACGACAAGGTTCCTTACATAGGTATTTTTTGTAATACATCAAAATTAATTTACCTGTTATTTGGCACAAAGCCATCCATTCCTTCTCATCTTGCTCCCTCCGTATTTCCTCCAATTCTTCTTCATCTTCATCATCTGACGAATAACTTGGATAAGGATCTAACAAGTCGCTAAAGTTCGAATTCTCCATTTAACTGAAATGGAAACATAAAGTTAACTAACTGGCTAATTGCAGACCATCTCAACCCATTTCTCCATTTTCCATTGCAAACTAGGAAACATACACATAACTAAAGCTAGGAATTATTTTCCATTACTTCATTTCTGCCGGACAACACATGACCATTGCAAGTTAGGAAACATACAAGGATGCATATCATAATATCTTTAGTTGTCATATAGATATTGTTATGCATCAGATTAGTAGCTACCTATACAGCACCAGAACACATCTCACTATAATATAAAGAAGGGGAAAGCAAAATGGTAATCTTCTTTTACTTCTTTTGTGTAGATAGGTAGGCAACAATCAAGCAAATGAAAGGTAGCCACTAATTTGATGTTGTTAATCCTCAAATGAAAGGTAGCAAATGAAAGGCAACAATCAAGCAAATGAAAGGTAACTACATCCCAGGCAACGCATAAAGCAAAGATGAGTCCTACCATCAATGAAGTTAGCACCATAACTGAAGGTTACACATAGATGTGTAGGAAAATATTCCATGCATGTTTACATATAAAAACCATAACGGAAGCTTACACATGAAACCATAATAAAGATTACACATACAACTATAATATTCGAATACGGAACAATAAAAATATTCAATCACAACAATACATTATCCATTTTTCTTGAGGTATAACTGATAGTTAAACTTAACCAAGACTTGCGAGCTTCATCAGTAGGCATCCCCAAAAACATTTGTCGGTTATTTTTCTTGCGAAACATATTCATAGTGAAACTGTAAATTTCACACCCTGCTAGAATATTAGGAATTTATTCCAACTTGCCAATACACTTTTCGATGGATGTTTCATCAACTGCAGGAGATGTTGCAGTGCTTTTTCTAGACATAAACTCTATGAGAGAGTGTATATCCTCTTTTATTAATGTTGCAGCTGTTTTTTTCTTTTTTCTTACTTGACTGCTAGTGCTAACACCATCGGTTGATTTTTGTCTTTTTAGTGATGGTTCTGGAAACATAACAGAATTTATATTCTGTAGATCATCACTTTCATCGCTCATTTCATCATTAAGAAGAGTAAAGTGTTCTTTGTCACAACCATTAATATCATTTATTCCCTCTTCGTCAAGATTTAGTTCAATGCCGGACGATTGTTCTTGATTTCTGCACGTGCTCTTTCTCCTGTGGCAACAACATCAGCAAATAGTGCGTCGTAGCGAAACCATATGAGCGAAAGATCTTTGTTCCTAAATTTTTTATATCGAGCATTCTCCTTAAAAAAATTCAAAGCCACTTTAAGCTAAAAAAGAAATTTAGCAATGAAAAAGAAAAAGAACCACACATGTAGCAATATGAGAGATGTACCTTAATTTTTCACTCCCACCAATCATCATCTGCTATAATTGTATTTTTTGTGGCATCCCATCCTAAACCTGTCTCTCCTCTCATCAACTGCTTAAAAAGTGTCCATTCGGCTTTCATGTAATCCCAATGGTTTTTCAATTATTTTTTATTATACACTATTCCCGTCTTCTTTTCGAACTTATTAATTATATTTTTTCACCCATCTTTAGATAAGTAAGTGTTTGATCTATTTTTCTTTCTAATCTCTTGCTCACATAACTCAATAAATATAATATGAACCTCATCGTCCCACTTAGCGTTACTTTCCGTCATGATTGAATGTAAATAATCTGAAGAAAGAAGAAAGAAATATCTAATTAAAGTAGAAGAAACTTCCTCATTAGTTGAGTGACTAATAAAATATCCAATATATCCAGTAGGCTCTATTTACTGTGATAACTTAACAGGTTTGCTCATAAACAGGAAAAGTCAGGAAAGTTTAGTCCCCAATTTTGGTACATGGATATTTCATAAGCATTTGAGTGTTCTCCCCACCACGATAATTATTTTGTGAAGCTAACAAAAATATACAACGTAACTAGGTTACTGCACTTACGCCAATTGCCACAATTTACATTTATTTCTAGATTTACAAAAATATCGACGCCTACAACCAACACATAAGGAGGGCTCCGATCCTTTTCACATACGACCTTAATTATAATATGTGCAAATATAAGGAGTAAAGAATTAATGTAGTTCTCTTCTAAAACGCTATACAAAATACATATTGTAGAAACAGAGGAAGTAGATGGAATCGAGAATGACACCGTAATATCAATAAATTATCACGATTACAATAAGGATCGAGAAAAACTTACAACGACGATTGATTTCCACTTAAATGTTTGAGGAAAAGTCAAGAAAAATGAAGATAAAGCATAGAGGAAGAGGAAAGAAGAGGAACGACAGTCTGCAGAAGTGAAGGAAATAGGAGAAGTATGATGTTTTAGGGTTTTTTGACTGAGGGTAATTTTGGTATTATGAAAATTTATAATGGACAAGAAAATAATTTTATTGGTCAAACTAAAATGGATTTTAAGCCAAAATCGAAAAAGTTGGGGTCAGCCAACTTGCTGCTTTTGGCTTTTTTAAGCACTTTTTAGCTTTTTTTTAAGCAGCTTTTCTTTTTGCCAAACACTCCAAAAAATAAAAAAGGGCTTAAAAGCTGGTTTGACCAACTTTTAAGCCCATCCAAACACCCTCTTGGACATGCCAGTCTAAGCCAACTCAACAAACTAGTTTCTAAGGACTTGGTGATAGGGATGCCTAATATTAAGTTCAAGAAAGATAAATTTTGTGAGGCTTGTGCAAGAGGGAAGCATGTAAGATCCTCTTTTAAAAGCAAGAAAATGGTAAACACCACCAGGACGTTGGAACTGGTCCATATGGATCTTTGTGGACCAATGAGAACATTGAGCAGATGTGGTAAGAGATATGTTATGGTGCTTATTGATGATTACTCTAGGTTTACTTGGACGTTATTTTTAATATCTAAATATGAAGCATTTGACATGTTCACTTCATTTGTTAGAAAAACTCAGAAACAACTAGGTAATCAACTTGCATCAATTAGGTCATATCACGGTACTAAATTTGAAAATACCAACTTTGCTGAATTTTGTGATGAGCATGGCATAGATCATAATTTTTCTGCTCCTAGGACTCCACAGCAAAATAGAGCAGTTGAAAGAAAGAATAGGACACTGGAGGAGATGGCTAGGACTATGCTACTTGCTAGTAAATTGCCCCATAGCTTCTGGGCAGATGCTGTGAACACTGCATGCTACATCATAAATAGGTGCATGACTAGACCTCATATTGAGAAGACTCCCTATAAGTTACTTAAAGGGAGAAAACCAAATATATCTCATCTTAGGGCATTTGGATGTAAGTGCTTTGTGCACAATAATGGAAAAGACTCCCTAGGTAAGTTTGATCCCAGAAGTGATGAGGGAGTATTCTTGGGATATTCTTCACATAGCAAAGCATATAAGATATATAACAAAAGAACTGTGTGTAGAAGAAAGTATGTATGTTGTTTTTGAAATTAACATTCTTTCTGAGAGGTAGGAACACAATGATGAAGAAATTGGGCTGGTAAGAAACTCAAATGAAACTGATCTCGTCCAATTTCACTTCTCTATTTGAGGATATGAAAATGATCGATGCAATAGTAATACTCAACAAGGAGTCGGGGTCGATTTTTTACAGAAAGCTATGAATGGTCTTAAGGATATATATTATAGTGCATGAACTTGAATTATCTCAAATTGTACTTCCACAAAATTTGGTCGTTTCTAGGTCTAGTTTTAAAATTTTAACCTAAGATTACAAACTAAGAATTTAAACTAGAAAATTATTTTTGGTTGTTTTTCAAATGATATAAAAGGCCTAGGGATATGACCTTCACCCAGGTGTTCGCTTAATGGGTTGTAAGCCTTAAAGCTTGTTTTATTGGTCGGGATATATTATAGCCATCAACACTCAAATACCCACTCAATACCTCTCGGTCAGAGAGTGATTTTGTCCAATTTGGCTTTCTCAAGTCCAAATGGGTATTGAACAAAGCAGTTGATAATAAACTCAAGTCGGGTTTTACTATCTCTTGATTCAGCCCTTTAATTGGATTTATCAATCACTCGATTGACTTAATTCCGTGCTAACCAAGTTTTCTAGACTAAGTCTCTCTTTCTCAAATATA